TTTTTCCTATCTGTTAGCCATTAAGCTTTTTAATGTTGTGCTTTTGTTTAGTATTACCTGCTAGCAACTAGATTTCACTCTGCCTGCACCTGAGGTCAAGCTGCAGAATGTAAGCCCCTGTAACAAGTAGCAGCCCTTCATTGCTCCGTGCTGACAGACATCATCACTGCTTAAAACAGAATATGCTGCAGGCCCCCACCCTTGTCTCTGTAGGAAACAAGGTACCAAATGGCAGGTGGAGATTAGATGGGATAGATGGAAAACTGCTGCTGTGCTGCTGCACTTGATTCTTAGCTTGTATCTCATTCCCTGCAGATAGAAACTCAAAGACCATGCCTCGGCCCCTGAGCTGTGTGGAAAGGGATGTCCCCCTTGTTTCTGGTTGGAAATCCTGTCCTGCAGTGCTGGTGACCCTCTTCTTATATTTACAAGGGTGTTAGTAAGCTGCACTCACAGCTGTCCCACAGTTTCACACTGGATTAGGGGTTTGCAGATACGCATGTGCAGAAGAGGCAGGAGGGATTAGAAGTTGTGGAGGATTATGTGATGTGGCAGAAGAGGCTGAGATGGACCACATGTGCCTCCTTTGTACCCAGGACAGTGATGGTGTTGTACAAAGAGTGCATTCATTACCCCATGTGCTATGAGCCACACTCCCACGGACAGGAGAGATACTGCTTTTTATTCAGGCTATGGTGCTGGTGGAAGTTTCCACAAATCAAGAACAATAATGCAAGTTTCTTCACTGTATTTATACATTAAATTCCTAAGTATTCTGCCAGAAGAGCCACCTACTACCTACATATTCATAATCTTAAGCAATCATGGTGCTCCATCCGCTTCTGGCTACTTTCCTGGCCATCTGTGCTTGCACAGGGCTGTTGAGGGGTCTTACATGACCCTCATTGGTCATATGGGGAATGCTTCCCTTACCCTTTTTATCTTTTTATCATCACATTAGAACTGATCTCTTGCCAGTTTTCCAAGGGGAACAATTGGCATTAATTGGGTAATATCAATGGCTAAGACATTCTGCTGTAGGATAAGCAGTACTTGATCAAAGGTTTCTACCTTTGTCACGTAGGGTCTGTTCAGCCTGATGACAGGAAGGCTCTGGGGAGACCTGATAGTGGCCTTTCAGTATCTAAAGAGGAGCTATAAGAAAGAAGAGGACAGACTCTCTGGTAAGGTCTGCTGTGATAGGACAAGGGGAAATGGTTTCAAACTAAAAGAAGATATAGACTAGATCAAGAACTTTTATTAAAAAAAAAAATAAAAAAAAAATGGTGAGGCACTGGAACAGATTGCCAGAGGTGGGGGATGCCCCATCCCTGAAGACACTCATGGTCAGGTTGGATGGGGCTCTGACCACACTGATGTAGCTGTAGGTGTCCCTGTTCATTACAGGAGAGCTGGACAAAATGTCTTTTAAAGGTCCCTTCCAACTCGAATGATTCTATGATTCTGTGAACTGGTGTGTAAGCCACAAGTGGGAAGACCTATTCTACATTACAATATGCATATGTAAACACAAACCTTAGAGAAAACAGCTTCCTCCTACTACCACCTAACAGAAAACTTGCTAGTGGAAGGCAGTAGTGAACTGAAAGTGGCAGTTTTCAGGTTAAATCACAGTAATAACTCAATATAGAAGTACTATTCCTAAATAAAGGCTTGAGATTTATTTCCCTATTGTTGCAGAGTAACCAGAATGCAATTTTGACCAGGTCAGAATAGAAGCAGTTTATTGTTACAGCTGTAGGAGAGAACACAGCACACCTAAGTGATGGGCTTTGGTGATAGGAGCTCTGCCCAGATGAGTCTGTTAGAGAGCTTACTTTTAGGCTATACTTTCTCCAAACTGCCTTTGAATAGTACTTAAAATTTAAGTGGTGCATTCACCAAGCAAAGGAGACATAAATTCACCCTGTGGAGGTGCAAGCACATCCTAGTAAATTCCACCTGGGGCACAATATGTAGTACAACTCAATTTATGTAGAGATCTTTTCTAGGAGGTTAACGGGCTGTAGGACTCGAAAGCACCAAGTTCAGAAATGGAGTGCTGGGCTTTTTCCTGGATGAGGTACTGAAACACCAACAATTTACCACTTCTGAAGAGAACTGGAGGAAAATCAGAACAAATAAAGTGGATCGAGAAGTGCCAGTGTCAAGTAGGCAAGAAACAATCTTGCTGTTAGGGCAAGATAAAAAAGGACTGGCACAAACAAAAGAAAGTAAAGGAACAATGATATTTATGTCCTTCAGGCTGTCCTAATTACATTTCTCAGACTGTGGCATGGAGGAAGAGACTCTTCCATTCCTCCTCTTCTCCTGCTATAGTCTCTTACAGCTCCTCTACTTCTGCTAGTGTTTCCAGGAGCAAGATATTGAATTTGCAATGCCATGAGTTTAGTCTCACTGTCTTTCTCCCGACATGCAATGCAAACATAAGCATTGCTAACTAATTCAGTAAGAGGCTTAGTCTGCCATCAGACAGCAATAGATTGTAATTGCTCTTGAATTTCTAGCAATAAGTCTGCAACAAAGGCAGTTGCTACAACTGCTGGAGGTTTTTTAGCAGCATTGCCTATGCCAGAATGCCAGTTAAAAACTAACTTGAGGTAGTCCATGAAGGCTAGAAGGTATTCCCCCTTAATCTGTTCTGTATTTTGCCTCATTTTTCTTCAGGTGGGTCATCTGAAGATGATCTCCAGCTAACCCAAGTTCACTGTCACCCTGGAAAGCTAGCCTTTTCTGTTAATCACTGCCTGATTGCACAAGGCTTAACAGCTCACAAGAGCTGCTTTCTATCAGCCCAACTTGGATTATACCAACTGATAACAGTCCACAGTTCTCTAGATTTCTGAGTTTCTTCTCAGGTATGGAAATCCTTTTGCTCTCTTATACTTTCAGGAGTGCACAGGGTGTGAGCAGTAACCACACCTCTGGGCCCCAGTGCTTGTTTTAAGGGTGCTTGTATCTCAGGTCCAAGTGACAGCAGGTTCTACCAGCAACTACAGAAATTCTTGGTGTGTTCTGATAGTCTGATGATGCTTATGGCTCTGCTGATATTACAGGGGATAGGGGGAGGCAAGGGGTGCTTTTCTAACCATCCCTTAAAATGCTTAATCTTTCAATTTTCCCTGAGAGTCTCTCAAATTTCTGGTTTAGGATTCTATTTTTCTTTCGGATGCCTCCTCGTGCCAGCCAAAAAAATGTATGCCCCTGAAAAGAGGGTACATTAGGCCCTCTGGTGCTCCACAAGTACACTGTTTTATCTAAGTTAAAGGTAAATTCAATAGGACACTGCTCAAAGGTATTATCCTTGGTCCACATCCCCTACAAAAGCTGAGGAAGCTGGACTTGTTCAGCCTGGAGAAGAGAAGGCTGCAAGGAGATCTCACTGCAGCCTTTCTGTATTTAGAAGGGGATTTATAATAACAGGAGGGGAATCGGCTTTTTACTTGGTAGACAGTGATAGGACAAGGGGGAATGGTTTTAAGCTTAAGGATGAAAGGTTTAGATTGGATGTCAGGGGGAAGTTCTTCACAGAGAGAGTGGTGAGGTGCTGGCACAGGCTGTCCAGAGAGGCTGTGGATGCCCCATCCCCGGAGGTGTTCAAGATCAGGTTGGATGGGGCCCTAGACAACCTGGTCTAGTGCCAGGTTTGGAGGTTGGCAACCCTGTCTGTGGCAGGGGGTTTGAACTTGATGACCCTTGGGGTCCTTTCCAATCCAAGCCATTCTGTGATTCTATAATGCAGAAGCTCTTTTTACCTAAACATCTACGTGTTTTAGGAGAGTAATGAATTTACAAATACTGGAATTTCTTCTGTGGGTGCTGGGACTTCTGATTGTCTAGTTCCCAATTCACTCATTCAGGGAGAGAAAGGCTATCAGCTCACAGTCACCACTGCCAAAGTGACTATCCAGCCTGACAAAAGCCAGAGACTAAACAAAGACACCAGTGGTCCTCTAGCTGAGTGTCTAGTCCAAACCTCACCATGTTGGTTTTAACTGTTTACAAAATACAGAGGCTCATGCTATTACCAGAGACAGAGAAGGGGCTAATTGGCCCAGGAAGGACTGACTATTCCATAACCTTCTGGAGCAGCTCAGCTCAGGGTGGCAGCATACCACTTCAGTGTCATCCACACTCACAACGTAATCATAAGCAAACTGGACTTTCCTAACCTACCACTCCTTGATTTTACCAGAAATATAATTACCTTTCTCCCTTTTCTTTTACCAGAATTCCAATCACTTTTCCCTCTTTTTAGCTGGTACCAGGAGGCATAGCCTTGCCTGAACAATCCAGGTGTTGACCTAACTACATACATGAGTGGCAGCATAGAATATGACCAGAAATCAGTAAAATGATTGCAAACCCTGTGCTCCTACATTGCTCTGATAAAATAAATGCTGAAGAAGGTAACTTTCTATTCATTTATGTCCATTTCTCTTCATACAGCGTTCCTACTGACAATTAAGGGAACTATGTAAAGATAAAGAACTTAGAAAACCTGCACTGCACAGGTATGTCACTGAGGGTATAGCAGTATAGATATATACAGATAGTGCATATTCAAAAGATATGGAAAGAAATCAGTAGCCTTAGATATTTTGCAGTCAGAAGCACAGGAAGGTCTACAAATGAAGAGAGAGAAGACCAGGGTTACCTCCTGTGGTACCAGTACAGGACCACACCACTGGGCTTACTGCTGGAATAAAGAAGCATATGGTATGACAGGATGCAGAAAGCATAAGGCACCCATCAGTCCTGAGTTTAAAAGATCTCGATTGCTAACTGAGAACTAAGATTTGAAGTTGATCTGAAATATTGATGGGGGTTTTTCATTTAGCCCCTGTATGTCTGAAATCCGGGCTAGGTGAAAACATACAAAGTTTCACATTCAATGAACTTCTTCTCATCAATAGCTGATCTTTGAGACATTACCTGGCTTCTTGGAGTCGTAGAAAAATTTAGACAGATGACTTAAATTACAAATAATAAAAAATAACCTTTATTCCCATTAAAGATATGCATATGTTATGTACAACTGAATAAAATCAATGACAGTAACTACACCCATTATCTCAGCAGGAAGACAGGGACTTTCTATGGAATGTTTTGAGGGTCCTGGTAGCATATAACTTCTGTGGCACACAGTATTCTTTGTCTGATTCAACACTGAAAAAGTGAGACATCTTTATGCAAAAACATCAAGGCAGACCATTGGTAAACTGTTACCCATAAAACAGGGCAAAGATCAGCAGTTTCTTGTTGATAGCTTTGGAATAGATCTGTTTCATTAGAGGCAAGACTTAAAGAGGGATAATGAAATACAACAGGAAAAAGAAACAAGAAAGTTTTGGGTTATGTAACCTCTGGAGTAATTTAAAAAACGTTATTACTATTTTTTTTTAAAGGGCTCAGTAGCAGGGCAATAGCTTATTGCAGTTCTGACTGGCATGACTAGAAGTACAGACACTGAACTTGATGAACCTGAAGTCAGGAGAAGTCTAGGAGAGGATCACACAACTTTTCCATGCCTAATGCAAAGTATAGAAATCAGATATATGACAATGCAGCAAGGAATAAAGGAACATACATGAGCAATACTGAAGAGAATACAGCTAGAAAATTGTTTGCATCTTTTCTGCCCCAAATTCATCATTCAGAGAGATGTACAGGAAGACTCTAATATGTCTGCATACTGAACACTACAACTTTTGCATGCAAGGAGCTTAGAGAATGGAATGCTAGATATGGGGCTATTTGTAGTTTGTGAAATCAGGTATTATGGGATCAACTAAAACAGCAGAACATGACTAGAATGCAGGAATTCAAGGAAATACATAGGCTGCTTATAAAAGAGGACATATGGGTTGAAATAGTAGCACAGCTTCAGATGTTTCTGAGGTGGTCAATTAAAATTAAAACCCGCAACATTTGCTCAAGACAAACAAAATTAATAGCAAAATAACAGTAAAGAGGCCTTTAAGGAACATTACTAAGGCTGGTATAAAACCACTTCTCCATAAAGTTTAAGTTATCTTAAGTTTAAGACATAGGTTGTATTTAGACATGGGTTGTATTCTCTAAGATCACAGGATAAAAAAGTAGAGTGGAAGAATTGTACAGCTCTGTTTTCTCGGACTGTAAAGGCACAAATATCCTTAAATCTATGGATTATAAAAGCAGTGCTGGACCAAGTATCTGTTCTGGAGTGCTTCTGATGATGGACAGTTGGACCCAAGTGGTACAAATTTACATTTCTATGTTTATAAAAACACTCATTAAAAGCAGTTACAGTTGATTACATTTTCTTTGTATGTTTAGTATGAAAGACATCCACTGTTGTTTCATGGCAAGGTCGCAAGTCAAAGTCACAGTATCCAATACTAAAACGACCCTATGGAAATTAAGAGAATTGACATGGGTAACACAGAATAAGCTATTCTACATGGAAGTTAATTAAGGAGGTTTGAGTGTTTTTACCTGTGGCCTCTTAAAATAATCAAGACCCCTTCCAATCTTAATCATCCATCCATTGTTGAATCTGTTATTAAAAATAAATGAATTTGAAAACCATGAGTACACCAAATTAAAAAAATTAGAAATTATTCCAGCAACTAGGGCTAATTAGTTTAAATAACTGGAATTCACTGATTTTTTTAATATCACCCACCTAATTTCTCGATCATGGATTGAAGATGAAAATGCAACATTCAGTGTTATCCCATGATTCCTCAATGACTGCTTTATTTCTTCCAAGCCACTTGTCTGTTGATTCCTCCCACTGCCCTGTTAAAAATAAAGATAACACTTTCTTTTAAAAAAACATATATCCTATTTTTGGTCACCGCTTCCTAAAATCCCCTACAAAACCTTTTTAGTAATAATTTAAACCCAAAGAAAGCCATCTGAGTGAGGGCAGATTTGCATTTTCATGGGACAGGATAAGAAGCAGGCAGATTACAGATACACTTGCTAAGGTATGTGGAGGAAGATCTCACTCAACCCCTTAAAGCTAGACACAGATTACTATTTGAGCCAGCATAAATGCAGGGGTAGTTTGAAAGCTTTAGCTCACCGAAAGCTCTTAAATGAGAGCTATACAAGCAGTTGGAAAAAAGAAGCATCTCAACAGAGATTATTTTTTTTTTATAACATTTTCCACAAAAAAAAAAAAAAAAAAAATCTTTCACCAAAATAACCTTTCCATTTAAAATCCCATTACCAAGAATTTGTTATGAAAAAACTCTGAATTTATGAAATTATTAATGTTCAGCTATCACAGTTTTTCCTCTTAATCTATGATTTCTACTGAAGGCATTGAAGCCACTCTCAAACAAGTACTTGTAAATATGAATATATTTGTATTTAAATATAAACATTCATGTATACATGTAGGCATGCTGGATGTGTTTGTGTGGTGTTACCTGGACACAGAGAAATGGAAATTGAAACCTGGACACTTACTTCATCATAGGAAGTGAGGAGGTGGATTGTTTTCACTTTGCACGGCCCCTTAACCAGCATCTCACAGAATCGCAGGAAATTATACAACTGTAACAATTTTGTGTAATTCAGTAACTAGGATTATTTTAGCTGCTACATCAATTAAAACACAGCAGAACAGCAGTCAGGACTGGAATGCAGGAATTCAAGGAAATACATAGGCTGCTTATAAAAGAGGACATAGGGATTGAAATGGTAGCACAGCTTCAGATGTTTCTGACTTTATCGCTCTCTACAACCTGACAGGAGGTTGTGATGAGATGGGGGTTGGCCTCATCTTCCAGGTAAGAGTAACAGGATGAGAAGGAATGGCCTCAAGTTGTGTCAGGAGAGGTTCAGGTTGGATATTAGGAAAAATCCTTTCTGAGAAAGAGCAGTGAGGCAGTGGCACAGGCTGCCCAGGAAGGTGGTGCAGTCACTGTCCCTGGAGGTGTTCAAGAAACACATAGATGTGGCACTGAGGGGCCTGGTCAGTGGGCATGGTGGGGATGGGCTGGAGGTTGGACTGGATGATCTGAGAGGTCTTTTCCAACCGTACTGATTCTGTAATATGCAACACTGAATATCTACTTGCCTGATGGACGTGCCTAATGTAGGGGTCCTCCACCCATACTTCAGAAACAATCTCAGTCAGATACTCCTGGAAAAGCTTCTCATAGCCAAAACCTGTTGCATTTTCCTCTATCCTGATTTGCTTATGGTATTTGCCATCTGAAGAAAAAAAAAAAAGAAAAAAAGCACCTTTGTCAGTAAAATCATGACATAATCCCCAGGTAACACCAAACATTTAAATGTGAGCAAGACAGTGGTGCCTGCACACCTTGCTTCTCCTTCTCAATATACTTTTTTATGTCTTCAGCCCTGGTCATGTACTCGGATATTTTCTGCCGGTACCGCTGCTTCTTTGCCTCATCCTTCGTTCCTGCCAACCAGAACCGCAGAGATGAGTTCTCCCAGAGCCAGGCCCCAGGTCCCCCAGAGGCGAGAGGGGAGCGGGACGATGCAGCCTCCCGACTCGTGTCTCATCGCAGCCGGCGGTCTCCCGGCGAGCCCCGAGATGGCCGCGGTCCAACACCCGCACACAGCGCAGTGTTAATGGCCGCACGGTCCCCCGCTCCCGCTCGCAGCCCGGTACCTTTCACCACCTGCAGCAGCAGGTCGATGCCCTCCTGGTAGCACACCAGGGACTCCTGGAAGCGAGACGCCAGGTCCAATTCCACCGCCCGCTTCAACGTTTCCGCTCCGGCCCGCTCCAGCGCGCCGGTGCCATCGCCCCCCGCCCGAGACATGGGCACGGCGACGGGCTGTGGGGACGGAGGAGGAGCCGCGGGGAAATCGAAACCGGGCCGGTGAGGCGGGCTGCTCTTCACCGCTGCCCTTCCTCCCTCGGAACCCAAGCGCTGCGGTGGCGGTGCCCGGCCGGAAGGCTGCACACCGACATGGCGGCGGGCCGGGGCGGGTTGCGGCTCGGCGCTGCCTGGAAGGCGGTGAGGGGGTGGTGGGGGCGACCGTATGCTGGCATGGAGAGGGTCCGGTCGGGGCGGCCGCGGCTTTTGCTTACGGGGAGACGTGCGCGTTGGGAAGACCTGCGGCTGGGGGGCTCTTCTACAGCCGCCGTGAGATGTAGTTAATGGAGGCCGCTTTGTTGTTGGTAGGTGCTGGGGAGAAGACCGGAAGGCATCGTGCCCGCGCCATGGGCTCGGCACAAGTTCACCAAATCGAGAATTCCCGAGTCGGTACGTTCTGCCCTCCTAGAGGAGGCTGAAAGCCGTGGAATTACGGCAGAGAGATACTAGCCTGCTCGTTCTGGGCCTTCTCTGATGTGGCGGCTTTATTCACAACGGTTCAGAAGCCAGGTTGCATTCGACTTTTCCTAAATCTTCTTAAAGTTTCTTAGTCCTGTGACAAAACTTTTGACTCGTAAGCTAAACAGAGGTTGTCCTGTGAGGTGCACGTGTCATAAGCGCTGTGCTATTACAGAACGCCGTGTATCCGTGCTGTCATGTGGCCTAACTTCAGAGTTAATGTATTGATTAGCAAACCATTATAATTTTCACAGTGCTATAAAGCTGCATTTGAGCTTCTTTACTGTGGGGGTGACAGAGCAGTGGAACGGGCTGCAAAGAGGTTGTGGAGTCTCCTGCTATGGAGATATTTGAGACCCACCTGTACGCTTTCCTGCTACCTGCAGTAGGGAACTGCTTCAGCAGGGCGGTGGACTCAGTGATCTCCAGAGGGCTCTTCCTACCCCTATGATTCTGTGATTCTATCGCTTGGCAAGTTGACCTTATGAAAAGAAATTTAATTGGAGATGTTAGATTTTTACCAAGGCTGAAGTGTGATTTGGAGGGTTGAAAACTATGAGCTTTTTGCTCTAGGTATTTCAGCCACGGCCTGGAGATCATGAGAAGTATGGAGGTGACCCCGAGCAGCCCCACAAAGTTCATATTGTTACTAGGATCAAAAGTGTAATCGGCCGCCCATATTGGGAGAAGAAGATCATACATGATCTTGGACTGGATAAGGTAAGGAAGTTGTGATTATTCTTACTCACAATGTGCATTCAGGATGCAGAAACACAGGGTAGAATTCAGACGTTTTTTCTTGATTTTCATTGTTGCTGTTGTGTGCTTTATGTGCAATCACAAAACTTGGATTGTTTTACAGCTACTATGAAGCATAATTGAGAACTGGGTCATGTGTGTAAGAGCGGATAGGAACAGTAATGAAAATTGCTGTTAGTAGGAATTCAGATTATGAATACATGGTATTGCTGTAGTGCCCAAGGAGAACTTTATCTTCAGAATTCTGCTAAAATAATAACAACAGATTTGCAAATACTTCAAATTCAGTTTTCTCGCTAGGTGATATTAAGCAGATATTGCAAATAGACCTCATTTATTAATGAAAAGTTTTCTGAATCTAAAAGGTGTGATGAGTGCTCAAACAGATTTAAGAGTTCGTGTCAGATTTATTCAATTTTTTTTTTTTTTTAGGTAGAATTGCACTTTGTGCAAAAATTCATCTAGTTGATATTATATTTTGGAGGGGAAAAAAGTGATGAGTTTAAGGCCTAACTGAAGCAAGTCTCACACTGTATTTATGTGTAGGCATTTCTAACATTTGGAAGAAATTTGAATATATTGATAATGTAGTGGGAATAAAGCTGAAATTGGCATTTTACTGGAATCATGAGTTTGATCAAGCTTTGGTTTCATATTTTCATGTATAGTACATCATACTACATCATCACATCATGGTCATAGTACATCAGTATTATTTCTCCAAATCTAAATTTGCAAATGTGGTTTATATGTTACTGAAAAGTTTGGTGAACAGAGATTTTTACTTTGGAACTGTGTTTTTAAAACCAGTACTATCCTTTATATAGGCGCATCAACCAAGACTGCACAAAAATATCCCTTCTGTGAATTCCAGACTGAAAGTTGTTAAACATCTGATAAGGTTTGTTAGCTATGTGTTTAATTTGGAATACTGATACAATTCCATTCTAGTCCTAGAGCCTTACTAAACACAGTCTTCTATCTGTAGAATACAGCCGTTGAAACTACCATATGGGTTGCCAACAGAAGAGGAAATGGCAGACACCTTTCTTACAAGCAAGGGAGAGCTTATCATTAAACAGCGTCTGAAACCCGTGGAGCAGGAAGAAATTAAGTCATGAGGTGTGCTGGTTGGAATTATGTTTTCTAAAATAAATAATTTAAGTCCTGAGTTAAGAGCTTGTTTGTGAAATGGAAGCTGGTATGTACATAGAACAGATCTAACTAATGATAGTGTATTTGGCAGCTAACAGCAAAGGTTTGCAATGAGGGTGCATGACTTCACCTTTCCTACACTAAAAAAAGAACAGGAATTGAAAAGCTTTTTCGATCATGGGTTACCTGAGCGCTGACTGACTGTCTGTTCAGAGCTCAATTTATTGATGCAGGCATTTGAGTGGCTTACGTCTGTTATTCAAATCTCATGTTTGTTTCTTAGCAGGCAGTTTCATCTGGCCTGTACCGTATCTTAAAATAGAATTGTAGAATCACAGAATGGCTTGGGCTGGAAGGGACCTCACAGCCCACCTAGCCCCACCTCCACCATGAGCAGGGCTGCCCTCCACCAGCTCAGACTGCCCAGAGTCCCATCCAACCTGGCCTTGAGCCCCTCTAGGGATGGGGCACCACAGCTTCTCTGAGCAGCTGTGCCAGGACCTAATCAGTCTGAGTAAGAAATTACTTCCTGACATCCACTTAAACCTCCCCTCTTTTAGTTTAAAACCATTCCCCTTCTCCTATCACTATTAGACCATGTAAAAAGTAAGTCTCTCGACTTTTAAGTATTGGAAGGCCACAATGAGGATGCTCCAGAGCTTTTTCTTCTCCAAGCTAAACAAGCCCGACTTCCTCAACCTTTCTTCATAGGAGATGTGCTCCAGCCCTACAATCATCTTTGTGTCTTTCCTCTGGACCTGCTCTAACCTGCATCCTTCTTGTGCTAGAGGCCCCAGACTGGGGGTAGAAGAAGGGGCTCATGATTGGAGAGCAGAGGGGAACAGTCACCTCCTCACCCTAATGGCCAGCTTTCTTTTGATTTCACTTTTTTCACTTTTTTTTTTTGTAGTCTTTATGAAGGTTAATGCTTTTCACATGCTAACAGAAATCTGGAAACCCTGAAGCGTATTTGTTTGATACAAGTTAGCAGTTAAGAGCTCCAAGCATATAAAATAAGACCTTTCACTGGAGTGTCTTGGATAGTACTGTGTGCAATGATTTAAAGACTGCTTTTATTTACTATTTAAGAATTGTGGCTAAAATTAGGAAGCTGCTGCGATATCAAGTGATAAAGTAGTTTTCATTCCAGCAAGCATAAATTCCATCATTTATTGTGCTGTGAGCCTCTCCCACACTAGAGACATTGTAGAGGAGCTAATCTTAATTACTGTATGTTGTGGAAAGATCAGAGGGATACAGTGGCTGAAAATGAATGTTTATCCTTTCTGCATGCTTGCAAGGAAGAGTAAAAGCCTGTGGAAGTTCTAAGGAGTATACATTATCAGTAGAAGGACATAACAGCTAGATATGCTGTGTGCAGAAAAAAGGCAAAGGATAGGATATAGTAGTACATTAAAGGGTGAGATGGCTCCTGAAGACAGGCCAAAGACAGATGTGGGTTGAGTTGAAAAACCTCAGTTTCTCAACAAACTACAGGCTGCAATCAGGACACAGAAAAGACTGAAGGATATAGAGTAGCAAGGGAAAAAATGAGATAGATAAATTGTGTGTTGTTTTTTTTGTTCTCTGTCCTTCATTTCAGTGTCTGCACAACATCTTGTGCTGTAGTGTAACTGCAGTTTGTATGGTGGTTTCTGCATTCCCACAGGGAGGTGCTTGGTAAAGCTGAAATTTCAGCCCTTATGAAAGACATGTTGTTCATCTGCCTTGTTGCTGAGGGACAGCAGATACAAGGCCTGCTCTAGGAATGGTAGCCTAAACTGACAAAGCCAGGCATTCTAAAGTCTTTGCAAGTGTGTTTGGGATGTGTCTGCAGCAGTGCATCCTGGTGAATCTCCAACAGAGGGTGCACTGCCAGTTTTGTTTTACACAACATATACAAATACACAGATCTCTCAATTCACTGTACAGACACTGCAACCTTCAGAAGTTTCAGAAGTTACAGAAATGTAAACTGAAAAAGATGTATTTATGACCAGGCTAGCTTAGTACTGTGCACAGCTTATGTATTTGATAAACTGCCTGTGATAGAGCAGAGCTAGTCCCTGCTTCCCAAGTGCAGAGAATGGAAAACATTTTGGACAGTTCCTGTTCTTTGTGAGTAAGGATTAGCTACAAGAAATGTATGCCATTGACAGACTATCAGTTTTCATGAGAAAAGAAATTACATTTTCTTAACATTTTTAACATATGTGTCAGTTTGGTTGTTTTTGAAATACTATCTGCTCTAAGGTCGCAACAGCTTGCAGTGAGAATTTCTCAGATTTTCTATGTGTAAACATAAGTTCTCTAAAGATTTATCCTCAGGTGTAAAACTTGAGCCTAACAAAGTGCAAAAACCTACTGTGTGTTAACATAGTCCTCATGTAAATCTTCCTGAAGCACAGGTAAGAGATGCAGGCTTTTTGTGTAGGGAACAAAAAAGCTGACTTAAGATGGGAGAAAAATTCAGGTTGGAAGGTACCTTGCAGGTCTTTGATCCAATGTCCTGCTCTACAGCTCAGCTATGCTCATGGGGGGAAAGGTGTAGATGCAGAATAGTCTTACCCTGTGTGAGCTTCTCTTTCAGCTCATGCCTGTTGTCATTTATCCTCCCACCTTCCACCGCTGTGAGGAGCTTGGCTCCATCCCCTCCATTATCCCTCCCAGATACGAGGCGTTCCCTCCCAAAGCTGTCCTGCCTCGTGAGACAAGTCCTCCAGCCCCACGCACCCTGGGGGCTCTCTGCTGCCAACCTCACTCTACTTAATTTGTCTTCCCTTTGCCCAAAACAGCTCTGTTCTAGAAGGAACTGGAAAGTGCTCAGCAGATGCAAGTAATCTCTTCCTTCAGCAGAGCTGCACTTTTGTTCATACAGTCCAGGGTGTCTTCAGCCTCCTTGGCTACTTGGGCACATTGCTAGCTTGTGTTAGGCTTGCTTGTTGGACAGGATTGATTCACTATGTCTGCTTGCCATAGAACTTGAAATATATTCAAATGAATCAAACAAATCTTTGGTGCAATGTCTGGTACCAATATAGAAACATACATATGTAGAAATGCACTATTTTAAGAAGATTTTTGAAAATTCTTTTGCTGAGGATATTTTAAATGACAAATATAAAAAATCTGTAATAGAACTATAAAAATGCATGGTTGAAAAACCCCCTACAGTATTCATTATCTTTTGTAGCTCCTAGTGATACACTTGCTGCTTTTCTTTTAGCTACTCTAAACTTCTTTCTTGAAACTTTCTTGAACTTCTTTGTCTTGAAATAGCTGATTCAAACCAACAGCTCTGAAGCTAAGGTTCTCCAAATGCTTTAGGATGTGTTTGATAATAGAGCAATAAATCTAAGAGGGAGTGACACACTGAGATACACTCTTGTAGCAGATTAAAAGTATACAGTACTTTTGTATACATGTAAGTATACAGTATATTGCAAGGACTGGTGTTTGCCTTCAATGATTTGCTCTGCTAAGGTGAAAAAGAATAAAAGGTAGCTAATGAACCAAACTGTAACCTATCTTTTGCCATTGGTTTTTTTTTTTTCACTTCAAAAAAGATTCAAGCAGTCTTCATCTCTTGTAATTTCTCAGGTAGCAAATTAATGCTGCAGGAAGGAGTCATAATGCTGTTTAACAGGAGCAGCTTTGGATTTTATTGATCAATATGCGTTTCTAACAGCAGTACAAAATAGGCAACAAAATCACCTACTGACTAACAATTTGCAATTTTGGTAATGTAAAAGCATTTGCCATAAGTATTGTATAATGACTCAGATATCTTTCTCAGTATCCATGTCTCTGAAAGAACCTGGCTCTTGCAACCACATCGTTGGCATAGTCGTCGTGTGTTGTGCCAACATCCATTCCTTCATAGGTCTGGACGTTTCTCGTTCCTGCATTATAGGCTGAAATCCCACCTGAAATGAGAAAGAAACACTCAAACAAAGGTAGTATTTCCTCAGTAAATAAATAAAAGTCACAACCTGAGTGTATCGCTTGAGTTTGTTGGTGTCTTTTTACCAGTATTTTTTGGCTGCAATGTTACCATTTTCAGCTGTTTTCATCACCGAGGTGTTTCATTTGCATTTTAGCATTGTTAAGAAATTATGGTTTACACCCAGGCTTAGTGATCATTGTTTCTTTGCTGTATTTTGCAAATCTAACATCTTCTTTTGTAGTATTGCTTCCTTTTGTGATGTTGATAACATCAGGTACGTTTGTATCATAGCTGGATAGGAAGGGGCCAACCATAATGATGGCTTCAGCTGTGATCAGTGTCTGGGAATGAACCACAGAATCACAGAATCACCTGGGTTGGAAGGGACCTCAAGGATCATGTAGTTCCAACCCCCCTGCCTAGCAGGGCCACCAAACATACACATTCAGATCAGGTTGCCCAGGACCCCGTCCAACCTGGCCTTAAACACATCCAAGGACGGGGCATCCACAACCTCCCTGGGCAGCCCGTTCCAGGGCCTAACCACTCTCCTTGTATAGAACTTCCCCCTAACATCCAACCTAAATCTTCCCTCCTTCAACTTCGATCCATTTCCCCTAGTCCTGCTGTTGTCAGCCCTTTTGAAGAGTTTACTCCCCTCGTGGATGTAGGTTCCCTTCAGGTATTGATAGGCTGCAATGAGGTCACCCCGCAGCCTTCTCTTCTCCAGGCTGAACAAGCCCAACTCCCTCAGCCTGTCCTCATAGGGGAGGTGCTCCAGCCCCCTGATCATCTTAGTCGCCCTCCTCTGGACCCTTTCCAAAATCTCAATGTCTTTCTTGTACTGAGGGCTCCACACCTGGACACAGTACTCCAGATGGGGCCTCACAAGAGCCGAGTAGAGAGGGACAATCACCTCCCTGTCCCTGCTGACCACCCCTCTCCTGATGGAGCCCAGGATCCCATTTGCCTTTCGAGCTGCCAGAGCGCACTGCTGGCTCATGTTCAGTCTCTCGTCCAT